CCCAGCCTACGGGGCTGTGTCTTAGGCGTTAGGGAAAGCATCACGGTCGTGCGAATCGCTTCACTCCTCCGATTGCATGTTTCAGTACATCCTCAGTTTCTTGCACCACACATCAGTCTTGCTAGTGCTTCTCTGCCAGGAGCTTTTTGTTCGGTAAGGACAGAACTCACGGATCTCCCTCATAGAGGGATCACAGCCGGTTAGTCGCGAGGCTACGTGGGGCGTCCCCAGGTGGCGGATAAGGGGATAATCGCCGACCAAAAGCGACCCCGCGTCTGTTCTGATAAGCAAGCGGAGCCGGAGGACGGACTCCCTGCCTCCACTGAAAGCTTGCGCCCTAATTTCCCGGGTAGGTGTGTGGGGAGGCGAGTTCGGAGTCGCCTCCAACAAATAAGCTCCGATCGTCCCTCGCGGGGGTTTTGAGCCCAACAAGCTATCCCTGCGAGTAAATTCTTGTTCGACACAGTGATAATATGGAAAGCTCCTTTAATCTTGGAAGAGCCACTGGTAAGGCAGCGCCAGTGGGGACAAGGTTTGAAAGGCGATCTAGGCTGCCGAAAACGAGACGGACTATGATGACGATCTGTACTTACAACGCGAGGACGCTGGCATCGGACGCATCTATCGAAGATCTCATGATGCAAGCAAGGAAGATTAAGTACGACGTCATCGGACTGACCGAGACAAGGAGGCACCGCCCGCTGAACGCCACATTTGAGACTGGAGAAGAACTGTTTCTAGGAACATGCGACAGTCGAGGAGTAGGTGGAGTGGGAGTCCTTGTCAACACGAGTTTGGCCATGAACATCGATTCGTTCGAACAACTTACAACTCGAATCGAACGTTTGCGAATATCAAGATGTGGATCAATCCCTGCCTTGACCGTCTTCATTGCGTACGCCCCAACATCCAGCTACGACGAGGACGAACTCGAGGAATTTTATATGGACTTGGAGAAGTTCTACAGAGAAGATCATACCTTCTACAAGATCATCGTCGGTGATTTCAACGCGAAGATCGGAACTAGAAGGTCGACTGAGGAACTTCACATCGGAACCCATGGTTTGCAGTGGAACGAACAAGGGGAGAGACTGTCCGAGAGTTTATCATGACGACGAGGACTATCCATGGAAACTCACAGTTCCAAAAGCCCTCTTCCCTACGCTGGACCTGGGAATCGCCCGGTGGAGAGTACCATAACGAGATTGACCACATCATCGTCAACAGAAGGTACTGCCTGACGGACGTCGCTGTTGTTCCGAAGTTCTACACGGGATCAGACCATCGTCTCCTGCGCGCCAAATTCTACTTTCCGCGGAATGGAGAGAGAGCCGTCAAGTTCAGGAAACATCGTCCCATGAATACCACCAACTGGGATCTGTTTTCTTCGATATCCGGCTCATGGCGAGATACCGTGATGGACAACATCGACGAAGAATACGAACGGTTCGTACAACATCTCCACGGTTGTGCCAAGGAAGCTCAGGGTCTAAGAAGTACGAGAAGGCGTCTCACCACGGGGACTTTGGAGCTGATACGCCAACGTGGACGCGCACGAGCCACAGGCAACTACCGACTGACATCCGAGCTTGCGAAGCGATGCAGAGAAGCGATAAAAGAAGACCTTAAGGAGAGAAGAGTAGCAGTGATGGTTGACGCCGCGGAGGCTGGAAGAAGTATACGCAACGCCCGCCGAAGCTTCGTCAACTTCAAGACAAAGATGACCGCACTTCGTCGTCCTGACGGAACCATAACTGCTTCCCGAAGATCAATGGAGAAGGTCATCCACGACTTCTACTCGGATCTTTTTGCGAGCCACGTCCACCTTCCACCATGCCATCTCAAGGAGGACGAGTATGTCGCACCGTCTGTTCTTCCTTCCGAGATTCGTCATGCTATCATGTCGATGAAAAACCGTACAGCACCCGGTCCCGACAGGATTAAGCCAGAACATCTGAAGAATCTGTCGCCAGTTCTCATCAAGACTTTGGCAAGGCTCTTCACGCGGTACCTGACGGAAGGCAAGGTTCCAAGGCAATGGAAGACCAGCAAAACCGTGTTGCTGTACAAGAAGGGAGATCCCTGCGACATCGGCAATTATCGCCCTATCTGCTTGTTGTCTATAGTCTACAAACTCTTTACGCGAGTCATTCTCAACAGGATCGGAAGAGAGTTGGACGAAGGACAACCATGCGAGCAAGCTGGGTTTCGAAGAGGATTCAGCACGATCGACCACATACACACGGTTTCAAGGCTCATTGAAGTGTCACGAGAGTATAAGATGCCGCGCTGTCTCACCTTCATCGACTTGAAGAAGGCCTTTGACTCGGTTGAGACTGAAGCCGTCATCGATGCCTTGAGCAATCAAGGTATTCCGACTCATTACATCAAGATAATTCGTGAGCTGTATAACGACTTCACAACCACCATAACACCATTCTACAAGGACATCATCATTGACGTGAAGAGAGGCGTGCGACAAGGCGATACTATATCGCCGAAACTATTCGCCGCTCTGGAGAACGTCATGCGCAAGTTGGAATGGGACAACATGGGAGTGAAAGTCGACGGCCGGCAGCTACACCACCTTCGCTTTGCTGATGACATCGTATTGATAACACCAAGCATCACGCAGGCGGAACAAATGCTGGCCCAGTTTGACGAAGTGTGTGGAGAGATCGGTCTACGGCTGAATCTAACGAAGACGATGTTCATGAGGAACGGAAGAGTGCCTGATGCTCCTTTCATGCTCAACGGGACGAACATCACCGAATGCTCAAGCTACACCTACCTAGGTCGTGAACTCAATATGATGAACGATCTAGCTCCGGAACTGAGCAGGAGGAAACGTGCAGCATGGGGAGCATATAAGACAATTGAGGACGTAGTGAAGAAGACCAAGAACATCCGGCTCCGCGCCCACCTTTTCAACTCGACGGTTCTTCCTGCTTTGACGTACGCTTCAGAAACATGGACAATGAGAAAGCAGGATGAACACGAGGTTAGCGTCATCGAACGAGCTGTTGAGAGAGTGATGCTAGGAGCGAATCGACTCACGCAAGTGAGGCAAGGATTACGAAGTTCTACCCTACGTCAACGATCGAAGATCAGGGACGCTGCCGCGTACGCCAAGCAGAACAAGATAAGATGGGCCGGGCACGTAATGCGTTTCGACGACAACCGGTGGACGAGAGCTGTAACAGATTGGATACCACTGGACGTCAAACGCGAACGAGGAAGACCGCCGACGCGATGGTCAGATATGTTCATGAAGTTCTCTAATGAAGTCCTTCAGAGCGTTCCACGTGTTCCTGGTGCGATACGTAAACATTGGTCAACAATTGCCCGAGACAGGGACGAATGGAGGCATCACTGGTACCCGCTCGTGCAACACGATGATCAACGGGGATACAGGTGATACAGGTGAGGTGAAGGACATAACACCACAATCTTTGGTAATGCTGCCGAAACGTTGTAAACCTTCGCGTTCTGAGCCATAACTTGAACAATTTTCGCGCATTACCTCCCAGACTTCAGGCCAGTCATGCATAATGGCGGAATTGACTTGTTTAAAGGCAGCGTACACCCAAAATTTGAGTTACCGAATTTCCTAGATCTTTCTACACCGTGTATATACTGGGCCCAGAAGAAAGACTGCGTTGGTCCGGTCTCCCAATGTTGCTTCTGAGCGGAGAAAACCCCCCTCAATTTTCTTTCACGCCGCCTCTTTTCTTTCGCTCCGCCTCCTCCGGACGAATCCATAACAGCGTAAGCTGCAATTGCAGTTGCAACATCTGTTGCATTTGTTTTGGGTGTACGCTGCCTATAAACACCATTGAACGCTTTATAACACTATACTCCAACCATTATTGAAGACCAGCGATGTAAAACGTGCAGCCTTTACAGTCTGTCAAATCCGGAATAGGCGAAATATTTCAAGTGGAGCAGCGCGTCCGCATCACTGGAGGGTTTGCGAGCACACAGCGCTGGCATTTTCCCAAGCAAAACCTGAGAAGAGGAAGAGACGCAGACATGGGTTGTGCACGATATGATATACTGTATAGTTGGTGTCAACCACGTGCTTCCCTTCTCCGTAAGCGCAATGAGCTTCGCGCCACGTTCGCGCGCGTAATCGGGCATTCAAATTGGTCTTGTCGATTGAAGGACCGCGCACAGGGCCCTTGCACTGCGCATGCGTAGTTCTCATGCGAAGGGGGTGTTTGACGTTGACTGTAGCTGCAAAACGGCGCGAATCGATGCAAAGCGGACGCCCGCCAATCCAATGTCAGTTAAATCTGGGTTGAAACTTACTGTACCGATATAGAAGAGACGGTATTTTTCCGTTATCCGGACCCATTTTGTCAAAGAAGGATTTCGGTTCTTTCCTCGTGCCAAATTTGGCACCAACTTATTGATACATGACAGTAAAGAGTGTCAACTTTCCTGCCATGTATCAATAAATTTGATATGTCGTTTAGATGTTTAACAGGTTTAACCAAGAGTTTGAGTTGCCCTACATCGCGACGTAAGTTTAATCTGATTTTCAGTCAATAATGGCCCCATTTTCAATTGAACAGTATCACAAAGGAACGTCATACGAAACAAGCAGCAGCGAGAGCCATCATACATCCTGGCTAAATTTGCATGGCGAAAATAGTTTGAAGAGAAAAACATTTCTGAATCTAAAAACGATCAAGACGTTCTAATATAAGTTCTACATTATCTTGCTCTTATAGAGAACGATTAATCAGCTTCTAGGTGATTACGAATGCTCTTTTATCTCACCGGAAATGACGCCGAAAAGAACATGCCAAAATATACCAACACGTGTCAGTACTTCCCTGAAACGTGATAAGAATGCATCCTCGTGGAATCTATGAAAAACTGCTCTTACTTGGACTGAGAACGTATATTATGAGAGTCTCTTCAATGGGTCCGGATAAGAAAAGTACCGCAAAGACTTATATTCTCGCGAGAAAGAATTCCGCGTTCACGGAATTCCACAGTGAGCTGGCTCCGCTTTACTTTTGGAAACTGCGCGCATTCGCGAACTTCCTAATTAGGATGCAGTCCATGTGAAATGGGACTGGCATGCGTGGGCTGCGCCGGCGCGCTCTGCTGCGTGGCGAATTGATCGATGGTTGCGTGCGCGTGCGGCGCTCTTATCTGTCAGCCCTCGTCACATCGACATTACATGCAAGTAAGTTTTCCTTTTCTATAGTGTTATGTTACTCTTTGGTAGGTTGTCTTTCAAATTGGTGCTCATAGGTATCCCACTGCCTTATTGTGCTTTCAAGTACTTAGATGGATTTCCAAACACATGGGAGCTCCTCTGATTTTGTAAGTTGTTCCTTGGATTCTAACTAGACTTTGAGGACTGCAAAAGCAGAGAGGATTTGCACCGAATTTTCGCTGTAATCCCGCTTTCAGTTTGTGCAGAATCAGTCGCTTTAATTCGATGTTTCTGCGGTCATTTTAAACTAACTCCAAATGCTGTGCTCGTTTGCATGTTTTCGCTGGGTACCAACATAATAAGCTTTGGATTGTGAGATGGTGACTTGATATATCGTGCATCCCTCGGAGTTGTTCTTTTTATTGTCAGCGTGGCTGCCTTTTGATCGTTTTGTAGGCAGCGTCCAGGCATCTACCTTACATAGAAAGTACTTCTGGGGCCCTAACTAAGGCACTACCGAAGCGGCAGCGCAGGTAGTGCTCTAAAGGCTGAGATATCCCCCTCGAAACTGGATCCCGCGATCGTATTCGCATGGATTCATGGCAGTTTCGCGCCACAATCCACGCTTTACGCCATGAATCCATGCGAATTACGATCGCGGGGTCCAGTTCGTTCCGAGGGGAATATCTCAGCCGTTAGAGCACTACCTGAGCTGCCGGTTGGGCAGTGGCTTACTTAGGGCTCCAAAATTACTATCCACGTGAGATCCCCATGTGCCCAGACTTGCCTGGACGCTGCCTTTAAAGGCAGTGTCCGGGCAAAAACTCGATTTTGAGATTTTGTGCTTACCCGGGCCTTTTCGCTATGCTGAATCCGAAAATCCACTTTGGAGAGCGCTTTTTCGACGAAAAAGGGCCCTAACACAGGAGGGAAATCAGCAGGCGGGGCTTTCCCCAGTGCGATTTCACGCTCCTGGCTCCCGGAGCGATTTTCTCGATTCCGCTAGCCGTCCTAACATCGCTACTGGTCAAGTGCGAATGATTGACTTGAAACCGGAAGCGAGAAGGTCGACGTACGGTATATGCCCAACTTCCATCGGCTGCGAGATAACGTGCTCCAAACAAACATAGCCCTAACCTAGTATGAAAACTATGTTTTCGACTATTTTGTGGATATATTAGTCCGTACAAAGTATTTTCTTCAGACTTACTATTATGGAGAATATCTGAAACTTTACTACAGAGTTCGCTCTCCCCCACAGCCTTAGAATAGCTTTTCGCTGCAGTCGTACGGTGAGATCAATTTCCTCGGCGATTCCGATCTATCATCATAATGATATTGGATTATCAGGGTACCTATTTTATTTCTGTACACTTGCGCTAGGTGCACATAGAAGTTTAGATTACATGCTTGTATTCAGCACGGAAATTGACATTATGTTTTACTTGAATAAGCTCAGATAGATACCTTTTGAATCATGTTCTCAGAGACCAAACTATAGAAAATGCTTCCACTATTCTAAAATTGGCAAGGACATCTATACGATAGAGGAAGGAAAATCTTTGAGAAGAGCAGTAAAAGAAAAAGAAGTACATGTTCAATGGACTCAAAGCGTGTGCCAGCTGATCAAAGTCATATTCTAAATCAGGACAAATCATATACTTGAGGCAAAAACACTTTTCATCAGAAAGAAAACAGCAAGTTTCAGTGACGCAATCCACCTATGCCGTACAGAAGTCAGTGGGAACGACAAAAATTTTGAGAAAAGCTAATGAAATTCTATTTTTAAGTTTTGGAATCAACATGCGGAATCCTCGGCAAAACGACTTTTTCTCCGCTGCAGCACAGCTACCGTAGTTATGCAAGAAAGTATCTATCTATCTACTTTGCAAATTATCTGTCATTCCTGAAGTGAAAAATAACCCCACTGACATGATAATCCGGAAGCCGGGGACGTGAATTCGCAGTGGGGAGGGCCCCGCCCACCTGCTAATTTCCCTCCTGTGTTAGAGCCGTTTTTCGCCATTTTCGCGCTCTACAATGTGCATTTTCGGATTCAGCGTAGCGAATAGGCCCAAGTAAGCGCAAAATCTCAAAATCGAGTTTTTGCCCGGACACTGCCTTTAACATGTCAACTTCGAATAAGCGCCCTAATTTTGCTGGAGTTAACGTGCTAAAACGATCAAAAGGTAGCCACATTGATGGTGGAAGCACCTGGGAACAATTCTGAAGGATGCACGAAACTTCATAGAAAGTTCCCCTCTGAGGTTTCTCAATATGTCAACAATATATGGACATCTTCGGTTCACTTTGCTGAAGAGTGCAAAGAAACAACGAACTAGCATGGCAAATAGACTTAGTCTTAACAGTGTACTGCTATGAATGCACAAACCTCGAATTAAAACAACTGATTCTTGTGGCAGGGCTGAAACCGCGATCACGAAGAAGTTTGATGCTCTACACATTGAAGCTCAAAAATTCGAAAGTGTGGATTGTGTTATAATTAACCTTAAAGAGTTATTTGGCAAGATGGATGGTTTTCATTACGTGTAATAGTTTTCTGGGGTTCGTTGCATATACTGTGTAGGTCATTTACAAAATCGTGACCACGGGTTTAACTGCGGTCTCTAGTTCACAGCAGCAACACCCATATAATAAGGCAACAACTTGCTCAGCTCGGTCACTTCCAGTGTCTGGGCACTGGCATATAAGCTGAGAAACCATTCGAGCAGAGGTGGAAACCAAGAAAATACGGTTGTCGGAAGTGCGTGCACGTCGGCGTAGTGCCATCGTCACGATTTTTCGAATGCCCTATACAGTCTTGTGCCATTATAAATGCAGTTTTCTTGCACACTTATTAGTTTCTTCGAGGTTACCATGGCGGTTTCTTATCTAGAGAGAGTTTCAATTTTTTGCAATGGCTCAATTGATGTGTGTCATTTAGTCATCTATCGCCCGGCGCCTTCTACTTCATCCGGAGGAGTCCGAGAATGCATCATTGGTAAGTCTTCCAGCAGTATCTGTCAGTTTACTTAGAAGAAAGTTTTGAACTTGATCACTTCAGTAGCTCTGTTTTTCTTTACATTTATTTTTGGGTTGCTTGATGAGTATCCTATTCTAATCACGCTGGTTTGTTGACTCAAAATCCAAAATTTTGCGTTCTGCTGAAATTTGCCGGGAGGTTACTTAATGCTGATCACGAATGGCATTGGATCGTCGGTGCCATTTTTTGCGGTGAGGAAGCGTGTATAGTCTGTATCAAACAGCGTTGGTATGCCCTGGGATGCACCGTCGCACGCGGCGTGCCTCAACAGTAGCAGAGTTCGCACGCGTTACATCGTCGTAAGTTGACATCGGTAGCGCGACGTCGCATCACCGATGCTGTTTGGTACAGACTATCTACGATATAGATAGATTTAAAGTCTATCTGCTCGAACCTTTTTCTATGAGTTTCTCGCATGCTTGTCAAGAAAACAATGTCCGAAGCGCTCGAAAAAACTTACTACGCCCCCCTATCAAGTGCATGTTATATCGCCCACGCAGTCCCGCAGAAATGACCAAACTCGCACACGAAATCATATTAGTAATTAGCATGCAGAACTTTCAGGACAAACTTTTGTCGGCTAGCGCTTACCTGGCACCCATGAAAGGACCCTGCTTGCGAAATACAGTAAATCTATTCATCGTACCAAATAGAATATGTGCTAGTGAGATCCATGATTTTTATTGTTGGGCCAGCTGATATGGAGCAGTATGTATAGTCGAATCATTTCGTATGGTCATGTGTGCATTGCGCACAACATCCATCTTTGGCTTCCCATTACTTGCAATCGCAAAATTGCGAAAGTGACCAATTGTTATCGCTTTTATCAAGTGTGCGGTTGGGACCTAGAAAGTAAAGAAAACACAAAAAACGAAAACGCTCACATGAAGAGGTTTCTACTCCTAGAATCCAGAATGGGGACAGGTGGGCACGGGCACTGTATACGATAACGCACATGACCATATGAAATGATTCGACTGTAAAGTTCATTTGTAAATCGTGACGACGGATTTGACTGCGGTTTTTGCGCCCACAGGAGCATAACGTTCTTATCTAAAAAGAAATCACTCCAGCGCTCAGCTCAGTCACTTACAGTGTCCAAGTGCTGTCATACCTAAGCAGTAAAATCAGTCGAGTAGAGAATACCAAGAAAATGCGGTTATCGGAAGGTGCGTGCGTGTCACGCGCGGTCTCGCTATCGTCCCGATTTTTCGAATATTCTATACAACGGGATGAGAATTGTTCATGGTTTGACTAACTTATGCACATTGCACTTGCCTGGTTGTTTGTAAAGTATATTTTTAGATTAATGCCACTGATTTGATTACCGGCAAAAATAGCTGTTCCTCTACTCCGACCGTAAGTTTTCATTTGCGATCTCGTTTCATGGAACTTATGTAGTGGTTCAGCTTGTCCAGCTTCTCTCACAGCCTTCTACCTCTACTGCAAACGGGCCCAATAACATTGCTGTGGTGCAGGTACGTGTGATGTTTGGGGCATTGAATACATTGCAGTATACGGAGTACATGATCTATCCCAAAGTTCTTTCTTCGTCGGTTTTTTCGCTACCTCTCGAGCCGCAGCGGTTTCCCTTTCGACTTGAAGGCAGTGTCCGGGCAAGAAGTCGATTTTGAAATTTCATACTTACCCGGGCCTTTTCGCTATGTTGAATCTGAAAATTCACACTGGAGAGCGCGAAAACGGCGAAGAAGGGCTCTAAGGGTTCCTTCATACTACGCCGCGCGCGCGGCGTACGCCGCGTACGCCGCGTATGCCGCGTACGCCGCGTACGCCGCTGCAGCGCAATGAAATGTCATTATTTGACTCTGATTTCCTTTTCCTTGTCGGTCTGGTCACTCTGTATCTATTTTAGGGAGTGCGGAGCACACGTTACACTTTCTCACTGACTGCTGGATCATATTTGTCACGCAGCAACTCCTACTTTGAGCATGTGTTTCCTCGATCGCTGTTTTTTCTCCGTCAGCAACGTCAGCAACATCTCGGAGATTATAATTCTTGTCGCAAACAGTAGCGGTGACAAGAGTGGTCCCGTAATCTTCTTGTAGAAATCGTTTTCCCATTTGTCATTGCTCATTATTCATTATGCAGCGTCAGTGATGTACGTAGATGTTATTTCAATTTGGCAGATGTAAATATATTTGAAAGTAAAACGCCTAAAACGCGTGATAGTAAACACCACTTCCACTGAAGCCTACTGTTTTAATTTAGTATCTGAAGTTTGAGAATCTTGCTAAGGCCCTTCTATTTTCCAGTCAGTGAGAAAGTCTAACGTGTGCTCCGCACTCCCTAAAATAGATACAGAGTGACCAGACCGACAAGAAAAAGGAAATCAGAGTCAAATAATGACATTCCATTGCGCTGCAGCGGCGTACGCGGCGTACGCTGCGCGCGCGGCGTACGCTGCGTACGCGGCATACGCGGCGTACGCGGCGTACGTGGCGTACGCCGCGCGCGCAGCGTAGTATGAAGGAACCCTAACGCAGGAGGGAAATTAGAAGTGGGCGGGGTCTTCTTTATTTTGAATTCATGCTCTCAACTTCCGAAGCGATTTTCTCACTTCCGCTAGCCCCCAATATCTCTAATAGCCAAGTGCGATTGCGTAACTTGAAATCGAACCGAGAAGATTGCCCCAGAAGCCGGGACCGTGAGTTTACTGTGGGCAGGATCCCGCCCACTTCTGATTTCCTTTGCGTTATAGCCCTTTTTCGCCGTTTTCGCGCTCTCCAGTGTAGATTTTCGGATTCAGCACAGCGAATAGTCCGGATAAGCACAAAGTCTCAAAATCGACTTTTGTTCGGACACTGCCTTCAAGAACACTCTTGAGTCTTTTTGTCATTAAAATTGCGAAATGAGACGTTTAATGAAAGTTTGCTGCATGAACATTCGGCTCTGCTTACACATACTATAAGAGCTTGTCACTGGAATCACTTTTCTATTTATACAGACGGTTTTCAAATTCATGACTCAGCAGTCATCTCACTTATGTCTTTTATTTCAAATTTTATAGCAGAAAACTTGGCATTGTCACTGTGTTTAGTTCAACGCCAACGATCTGATGCCATGTCCAGCTGTATTCAACGCCAACGATCTGATGCCATGCCCAGCTGTAAACACTGTTGAAATAGAGGTGATTTATTTTTCAAATAGTTTTGTCTTCTAGTGCTGCGCTTCCCATCAGCATTATTATTGCAGAGGCACACTTGTCCGCTTTGCGACGGCATCAGAAGTCTTACTCCGGAGAGACTCAGAGCTCCCTTAGAGAAACCTCCGACAGCTTCCTCGTATTCTCGCTCGAAAAGATATGATGGAAAAGGATATTCGCATCTTGGGATAGAGACGGAAATGGTTATCAGAAATGTGAGACGGTTCTTTGATACATTCAAAGAAGAGCTTAGAGGAGGAAACAAAGGAACTTTGTTCTGTAAATCAAGTGTATTGACAATGCTAGCAACTGGTGTGTCAGAACGAACAATCCTCCGGATAGCCCGACACCACACGTCCAACTATGTACCGAGGAGAATATGTAAGCCGAGATCAGGAACTATGTCGCAAGAAGAAGTTTTCCTAAAATATGGTGAAGAATGGGGTACAGTGGTTCGTGACTTTATACTGAAGGAGTTGGAACATCAGAAGGATATAACAGCTACGCAGCTATACCGCAAACTTTGCATTGAGTTCGACGATTTTCCAATCTGTGAACCATCTTTTCATCCGTTTCTAAAAGCAATAGGTTTTTCTTACAAAAAATCTGGCAAAAAAAGGTTTTTAGAGTACTTTTTTTAAAGTTGTGATACAGTCTTTGTCAATCATGTGCTCGCTTTTGCATAGGAAATACGTATTCGCAAGCAAGATTTTTGTGTGCGGACTTCGCATTCGCAAGCAAGAGCCTTGTGTGTGGATCAGTCAACGGAGCCAATTCAAATGCTCAAGTCATACGCGCGCGAACGTGGTGCGAAGCGTTGACGCGGCGGTTGAGCTCATGGAAAAGGGAGGACGTAAGTAACACAGACTGTAAATGTAATTGATGAATATGAGTTTATGACGTTATTGCTATACTACTTCAACTTTATGTTGCTTATCATTGCTTTGAATATGTTGATAAAGTTTTTTACGGAGAAATCAATGTAGTTCCAGTTGATCGCACTCTAGGATAAAAAACATTTCTTAGCGTTGGCCGTTTCATACCTGTTTACCTGCGTACAGTTTCTACAAAAATTGACGCATATTTCCTCTTGCTTGATCGATGTTTCTTTCCAGTAGTGTGAGTCTTTATAATAACTTTCGGAGGACAGTCGGTTGCTGAGTGAATGCTTTGTTTACCTCAAATTTCTTGGCAATTATCCCGCAAAGTTTAAGCTCTGAGGAACGCGGGATTACTTTGATCCCACTGTCCAAAACTGCATCTCGTAATACTAAATGGTAAGTATTGATGAGATGGGTTCTTTACTCCTGTATCTAAGTCATGATTGTCAAACACTGCATGTTTTCTAAAATATAACTTCAGAATAGAGTGGATCTCAAACGAACAATCTTCTGAGCTCAATAAAAACTGCTGCAAGCGGTGCGTCTCGGAAAACACTACTGGAAAGATTTCATTTAGGATTTCAGGAAAGAACGTATCCGCATCCGCATTGTTCATTGACTCGAACATGTTGTTTCGCTTTACTGTTAGTAAATCATGCAAAACGCGTTAGAATGCACTTATGAACTTGTTAATCAGTCTACGCAAAGCGTACTGTGTCTCTTAGTCAGAGAATGAATGATATGTAAAGCCTATTGCCGGACGAAGACGCCATAAAGGTGCGAACGCGGTTTTATATACACACAGCGCATGACGCTTGTAGGATTACGATAGGAACCTCGAAGTTTTGAGTCATTGACCATATTCCATTGGTTCTGACCATATATCGCCCATAAAAAACCAAACAGTTTGAAAATTTCTATCTTGAGCCAAGTAGAGTTGCTGATTTCAAATATGAATTTGGATTTGAACGTGCAGAAACAGGCCAGTTTGCAGAGTGCACAACGTTGTCTAACAACAATAGGGCAAATTGTATCTAGGCTGAAGCTGACGTGCTCTACTGGCGGCTGCTCCTGTTCAAAAGCAAAATTCATCATGTACTGATTTGAATGAACACTAAAGAGAATAAGTATTGCTGGCTTTTGAAATTCGTTTAGGAACCTTTAGGTCAAGAGTAATCGACGTCAATGTGCATAGAACATGTGTCTGGAAATGTGTTCTTTTGGGAATTTTCCTGGCTTCAATCGCTAAGCAAGCGTGGGAAAAGCAACGGCTGCGTAAGCGCGCCTTGCTTCGTAGCGAATCGATAGTTGCGTGGACAAGCGCGCCGCCGCCTCAACTCCCAGTCTTCGTCACACCGACCGTGCCGTGCACACAGCAGCTTCGTTTTCTGTATGTTATTTTCTCTTCTTTCCTTTTCGTAAGTGTCATGAAATTTGTTTGAACTCATTTATTTATAGGTTTTTTATTTCTACGTTGGTGTTTTTCTAAACAGTGTAAATATGGACCATCAAATGCATGCAAGACCTGTCAATAACTTTGTAAGTCTACTTTATATCTGATGTTGTGGGACTAGATGTTGCCTTAGTCAGTCATTGAAATCAGCTGAGTGTTGTGGTCTATGAACCCACGTGCTGAAGATCCGTAGTGCTAAGAAATTTGTACAGGCCTCCGTAAAATCCAATTGCCCAAGCGTCGCTTTGAACACCGACGCGCTGCGCGGCTGGAAACGTTTGGTCCCGAGGCGCGACAGGCTTTTTGCGAGCAAGAGCGCGCACCCTTTCCATACATATTTTTTTAAACTTTTGAAGGGAGCTTTCTTCAAGATATACCTTGCATCGACGAGAACAACATGAAAGTTAAGGAAAGATTCCTCAGAATATGAACGCCGACAGTCGTTCGCGACGACCGCTCGCTTACGCTGGTGTTCAAGGCACGGCGCGGGCAGTTAGGTTTTACGCCGCCTATATGTGACTATGGAATCCTGAAATTATATGATACTAGCTGGCTTACCCGGCTCCGCCGTATCCGGACCAAACTTGGCACACATACACTTCGGGCCCCGGCGGGTGTCACAGTCCACTTTTCGTTATCGATCGATGTCGATTTTACCGATTTTTATCGATTTTTTTGCAGAGTTCACCTACAGGAGTTGGCACAGGGGGGAGAGTGAGCATGGGGATTCCGAATACAATATTAGTTTTCAGAATTATCGATTACTTTTATTGATTTTATCGATTTTCTGTAAATTTTGACATGCGAGGCTGGGATTTTGCACAGGGGGGTAATCGAGCATGCTGATTACGAACACAATATTAGTTTTCAGGATCGTCCATTACTTTTATCGATTTTATCGATTTTTTTTTGTAAAGTTTGACCTGCGGGGCTGGGAGTTTGCACAGGGGGGGGGGTAATCGAGCATGCAGATTACGAATACAATATTAGTTTTCAAGATTGTCCATTACTTTTATCGCTTTTATCGATTTTTTGAAAATTTGAGCTAGGGGGCTGGAATTTGGCACAGGGGTGTAATCGGGCATGCTGATCACCCCCGTTGGGGATGATCAGCATGCTCGATTACCCCCCTGTGCCAACTCCCAGCCCCCTAGCTCAAACTTTGCAAAAAATCGATAAAATCGATAAAAGTAATCGATAATCCCGAAAACCAATATTGTATTCGGAATCCCCATGCTCGATTACCCCCCTGTGCGAACTCCCAGCCCCGTAGCTCAAATTTTGCAAAAAATCGATAAAATCGATAAAAGTAATCGATAATCCTGAAAACCGATATTGTATTCGGAATCACCATGCTCGATTACCTCCCTGTGCCAACTCCCAGCCCCGTAGGTGACCTCAGCAAAAAAATCCATAAAAATCGATAAAATCGATATCGATCGATGACGAAAAGTAGCCTATGACACCCGCCGGGGCCCGAAGTGTATGTGTGCCAAGTTTGGTCCGGATCGGTTCAGAAATGGAATTTTCTATTCGGAACATACGTACACACAGACATACATACATACAGACATACATACAAACAGACATTCAGCTTTAAATATAAGATGGAGTCCTGAAGTTATGGAACTCTTAAGTTTTTTGTCTGCGAACTCAATCAGTCTGGTAATTTCATTGCAATGGAATTTCTCTTTACTGCATCAAAAACCTGGTATTATGTCACTGCCAAGTTGATCTCATCATTACACCTTCTTGACGTCTTCATCAACTTCGTGAAAAGCTGAAAGTCACAAAGAAAGGCGGTCTCTTGAGAGTTTCGTTGGAATCATTTGAAACACGCTGTACTCCTCGAGAAGTATACAATTTGTGTCCTTTCATGCGAGAATTACGCAGGCATAACGCGAGGCTTCCGCTGACAATTGATGAGGCCAATTTGAAAGCCCGAGCCTTACGCGCGCGAAGGGGGCGCGAAGCTCTGGCGTGCGATTGCGCTTATGGGAAAGGGAGCACGTGATTGACATAGACTGTAGCACTCCTTTGATCAATATGCAACAAACGTGTAAAATCACCGACTTTTCTCGCTTATATTGGCGATCGCCAGTCGCCACGACTGCCTCGCCCTCGTCGATAGCAACGACGATCGCCTGTCGCTGATACCGGTGCACTTTACATAGAGTTCGTGTCAATCACGTGCTCCCTTTCCGTGAACGCAATGAGTCGCCATGTTCGCGCGCGTATGACTCTGGCATTCAAATGGGCCTTATCGGATGGAGGTCCGCACGCAGGGCCATTGCGTTGCGCATACGTAGTGTTCCCATGCGTAAGAGAGTACGTAATTGACGTTTACTGTAGCTGTTGATGGCTGACATACAGGGCTTATCAAACGCAGTGTCGCTTGCATCAGCATCTCCATTCGCGCGCGGGACTCCGCACCTCTCCCGCGAACATGCTCTCTGATCACTTTCCCAGGGCGAGCGTGGGAAAGGCGGAACCTCAATTGATTGAGTGATTAGAGAGCACGATCGCATAAGAGACGCAGAGTCCAGCGCGGGAGTGGAGATGCTGATGCAAGCGACACTGCGTTTGATAAGCCCTATATTACTACACGTCACATCAATGCATATCAAATGTGTAGTCAAGAAAAGTAAAGTGCTTTGCCTTACATGACCACATGTTATTCCTTCTTATAGACAAGAAGGCAACGGGGTACTATTTCACATTAATTGACCCAAGAAATGAAGGTCGTGAATTTCGCTAAAATTCGTCTAGGGAAGTTATTTGGTACGCTGAACACGAATATGATGTTTATTTCGTGCCAGCGCCATCCGGTGGAGTTACGGTAGGACTACGGTATAGGACCAAAATCACGGATTTGCCCGAAACTTGGCCGTGAGGGGTTATTCGGCCTGTTGATGCCAAATATCACATAGGTTTTGAACTGTAGCGTCATTTCTCGGATTACGGTAGCTGCACGGTAACGGGTGTAAAACATAGTTCTGCCTGAAACGGTACGACGATTCGGACGACCGTGAAGTTTTGCACACACGACCACCGCCGCGCGCTACGCACCCTGCTGCGGCTTTTGCCTAAGCAAGGCACAGGGGAAAAATACATTTGCCAATTTGTGATTTTGCCCCTACCGTAAATCTACGGTAACCATGCAGGGAGACGTTTTCGTGCGGAAAAAGTGTGACATTTCTAATTATCATGTCGAGTAACCCCTCTGTGCGAAATCAAGCGGATTTTGAGATTTTGACCCCTTATCGTATACCCATCGTAACCCGAGAAAATGACGCTACGATACAAAACCAGTGTGATATCCAGCATCATCGGGGCGAATAACCCCTCTGGGCCATGTCTCGGGCAAATCCGTGATTTTGACCCCTTATCTAATCCTACCGTAACTCCACCGGATGGCACTGTCTCACGAAATAAACATCATATCCGTGTTCAGCGTACCAAGTAACCTCCCTAGACGAAGTTTTAGCGAGATTCACGATTTTCATTTTTTGGTCAACTAATGTGGAATAGCGCCGGCAACGGATTATCTATCTAGAATCCGAGAGCACCGCGAAAAGAGATTTATCTCACGTTTACTGTCACCGGTGGGGATTCATGCGGTTACGAGTCTTAAATTTTGAGAACTGGGAGGTTACTATTGCGAGGGTTGTCAGTCAGGTTTCTCTAGATATTGTAGTTGTCATCAGTTCTGATGAAATGTAATTTAGTCGCTCATCGCCCGGCGCCTTCTACTCCATCAAGATGTTTCCGATAAAGCTTCTTCGGTAGGTTCAGTAATTATCTGTTTTTGTGTACAGGTTCCACATATAATTTTTTCCGGCAGACTTTACTTGATCGCATGCATAGAGGTGTACATATTTTCAGAATGTATTGGTCAGAACCGCTACACTCTGCAAATGTGTCTAAACTTTGTATCATGCATCATAAATATGAATAAATGTCGCGGTGCCGAGCAGTTGCTCTAGCTCATCTGCAATGAATGATGGATATTTTTTTCCTACTATTTTTCTGGATTTTGCTATCATATCGCTTATTTTCGAATTCGCATTTTGCTGATCGAGTCTTTGGTGTGGCATGAAGCCTGAAATTCTATGATGTTGATAGGAAGTGACCATGAAAGTTCTCTATTACGTCACCCCTGTTATTGTTATCTCAATAGGCGCTGAAGCTTACCGCTAACTTTTTGGAATGAGACGAAAGTACATGGAAAATTTTGACGTGAAGCCCGTTATGAGGCTTATCCTCGTCTAAAAAAGACTTCTTGACGCCCGAAAACGAGATCAGACCAAAGCCGACTGTAAGCTCTCGGGACTCAGCGCTGACTAGAACTGGCAAGACATGTGAACGTGGGGCACTAGTGCCTGCTGGATCGACGCTGGCACCGTTAACTTCAAACGCAGTCGAGAGGGGGTAGTAGGAGGAACTGAGGCTCCTTCAAAGGATATTCTCTCGCTTGAGGTTCCATGATTTGCCTTCGCACTATCGGTTATCATGCGTTTACAAAATTGATGACCTTAGGTGGGCGCTATAACTGATTAGCTGCCAGCAGGATGCGGCACAGACACTGTCATTTGGTTTCACGTTGGAGGGAAATTAAGTCAGCCTCCGCGCTACAACAAAATTTTTCTACTGGTAACCTTATTATTGTCTCATTCTGCGAGGCCTTTTTATCATCTCCTGACAATGTTGTTGCAAACTTCGATTTCCCTCCATCGGACGCTAGATGACAGTATCTGCGCCGCTTCCCGCTGAAGCAGCTGATCACCTAAGTCTGGCGCCTAGTTTAGACGAATTTATAGTCCTGAAAATAAGCAGAGTATAAACGACATGCAAAAAATGGATAGTTCTAGGTCAGCGCTATTGAACTGATCAACGAGCAGCAACCTTCTACCTCTTCAACAGACGTTGATGTACATATACAACAGGTATGAATACATACGAAGTTTGTTCTCAATAATATTTCTTCTGTGCAATGTTCTCTACTTGTGTATCGTTTATGAACCTATCTGGACTTTCCAATACAGCTTTAAATCGTAGCTGTAGAAGCTTACCGTAGCGCACATTGGCTGCTGCACTGCAGCACATGCGAAAGTCAACGTGACGTTCGTGTCATATATTGACAGTAATTATAAATATGACGTTGTGACATGAGCCAGTTGCGTGTATGTGCGTTCCGTCGTTTGCAAATTTTTGTGTGCTTACGCAGAAAATTCTTGTAAATAATGAAACCTGCTAGAGCCTACCAAGTGTTGAGGTACAGCTCGAAGTTCTCAAGAATTTTGTAAAACCTACAAGTAGATAACTTTTTAAAATTTTGTTGCTTTAACGTGATCCGTCTCGAAGGCAGCGGCTCGACAGAATGACGACTTTGGGATATTCATCGTTCTTGACTCCCTTGGATGAGCTGAGTCTGACTCTGTGCTTGGCATTTTCTGCTTTCCCGGACGTGAAGAGTGCTATGGACGGGTCGCGAAAGTGGCTGTTGGAGCCAATAATCTTGCCGCTGAGATGGGTAGGTGTCTTCACTCACGAGCCAATCGCGCTTTACAGGGCAGGCTACGCCGTCCGACCAGATAGCACTTTTCACGTCTGGAAAAGCGGGTTATTGATATCTTCTGAAGCTGCAAAGCACAGTCTTGGACTTTGCTCATTCAGGGGAACCAAGGGCGATGAATATCCCAAATTGTTATTCCTGCTGTCTTCAACCGCTCCTTTATTGGCATAGTGGGTGACTTTAGATAGAAGGTTTACCCATATTGAATTTACGCTTGGATGGCCAGTTCAACGTGGCACAGCAAGGAATCCTTCATCAGGCGTTACTCCACAAACAGTATACAAGTGCGAGCCAGAGCCAACATGCAGTCATAGCTCAGAGCCATGCTCCGCCCCATTTTTGTCACCGATGATACCTTTTCATCAATTTTCAGTTTCCACGCCCAAGATTTAAATCTACCGATCGGAATCCATAATTTAAAGAAGCTTATGAACCCGCCCAGTCCTAGAGTGTCTGTGGGCAAGTTTAGTCTGAATTGGCTCAGACGTAGAATCTTTCATTCGTGACGAAAAACTGCACGTAGACAGACCAAACGTCGCACTGAATTTGAAAAAAAATTTTTTTTGCTAATTTTTATCGAAGTCGCGTTTCATAAATCGTTTCAACAGAGGCATAGACTCCATAGCGTTTGACTCATCTGTGTGTATTGCGCGTGAAATTAGAATGCAAATTAGGACCTTTGAAGATTTGATTCCCACTTTGAAGCCTTAGCCTGACTCCATCTGCATTACAGCAGTGACGGTGGGTCGCGAAATTTTTGAAATTTACTTACATGGGTATAAAAATGTGCAATTTACTTGATTATCCTTGCAAATAATTGAAATAATCAGATTTTAGAAATTCAAATTAGTTTGTAAATTTTTTTGACTACGTGGCTGCCGCCACGCCCCCTCTCTTTACATCTTGGGTTATTTCTCTGCAAAAATTTTGAAAAACGTCCCAAAATGTCTTTAGTGCGCGACTAACGCCTCGCATCTTCATTTGAAAAGAAATTTGCCTCCGCTTTTCCCCCCTTCCCCCCACCCCTTCCTCCACGAAATCTTGGGACCTCTGATGTATGACTAACGATCACTGTGCTATTTTTTGCTATCTAGATATCGACCTCCAAGTGGATCAGTTTACGTTATAAATACCATATTTAGGTTAATGCCAACAATTTGGTACCAATTGCGGAAGCCGTTAAAGTGGAGGTTAGTGTCGCTACTCCATTCTTTTCTCAAGTAGAGACTTAAATGCTAATTTTGCAGTTAATTTTGCAGGTGCATTCCTGCCCACTTTGCGACGCCCTCAAAGGACTGACTTCTGAAAGACTCAAGGCGCCCATTGAGAAACCCTCTGAATCCCCATCTCCAGCATCCTCTCTATACGACAAATATAGTGCACAAGGACGCTCCATACATCAAGGAACAGACACAGAAATTATCATTAGGAATGTGAGACGATTCTTCGAGACGTTCAAAAAAGAACTGAAAAGCGCCAGCAAAGGAACCCTGCTGAATCAGCCGAATGTGATGACGACGTTAGCATGCGGTTTGTCTTCAAAAACGGTGATGAGGATGACAAGGCGCCATAATGAACCGTATGTTCCGAAAAAGGATAAATTGAATAAGGTACAAGAAGCGGTTTTCCGGAAGTATGGCCAGGAATGGGGTACAATAGTTCACCATTTTGTTTTGAATGAGTTGAAACAACAGGAAGATATAGAAATCTCGCAGCTGTTCCATAAACTATGCTATGCATTCGCAGACTTTCCAGTTCCTGAACCATATTTCTATCCTTTTCTGAGAGCGTTAGGCTTTTCTTATAAGAAAGTTGGAGGTGAAAAAGTCTTAGAATATTTCTTTGAGGATGCGAAACGCAAACCCCGCAAAGTCGGTGACTAGGAGCATAATGATGATTAGCGCTGAATATTGTAGATTTTATGTTGAATTTTGCTGCTCAAGGCTATTATGTTAATAAAGCTTCAACTGCGATGTGCATCCGTAGAGAAACTTCATAGATGAGTTTCTATCGCCCACATCCCCCGATAATCTGATCTTACGTGAAAGACACCTGCATCACAGTTTCAATATTATTATTCTGTTCTGTTTGGGCATGACTTTTTACCAAGGCCCGGCACGAGCTGGTTCCTGGGGATTCTAACGATGTTTCATTTGAACTCTGCTATAATTTTACGACGTTCCGTTTGATCTTGATTACAACTGCTTCTATCGCGCTTACATGTCCCACGGAATCTTAAACTATTTAACAAGAATTTTGGTCCCGCATTATAATATAGGAGATGTCATTCACCCTCTATATCATTCCACATACCTTCCCTCACATGACATGGATTACATGGATCGGGTGTCGCCTCGCTTCGGACTTGCTCCACATTGCGGGCGCATTATTTGGTGTTACATGGCGCTTAAAAAACGTTGCGCAGGCTTCCCCACGTTGATCTTGTTGCCAACACTACGTCAAAGATGCGCAACGTGGCGCAAGCTCGAAGCGAGGCGGCGCCTCACAGTCACGTAATCCACGTCATGTTGAGGGAAGACAAATGGGTTGATATTGAGGGTACATACTCTTTTTCGCATGGCAACTACGCATGCGCAACGCGAGGGCACTGCGTGCGGATCTCCAGTCGATGAGGCAAATTTAAGTGTCCAAGTACGCGCGCAAACCTGACGCGAAGCTCATTGCGCCTACAGAAAAGGGAGCACATGATTTACACGGACTGTATGGAGAACATAAGGAGGGGATTTGGGGAGTTGATGCATTCACGTATAAGTTTCGAAAAAAAAACAAACGGAACTGAAACGCGCAAGATGCAGGAAAGGTTAGCGTTGGGGTGCGATTAACATAGCCACAATGAAATGAATCGAAGGCAAAACAAGGGAGAGGCAGATACGCCATCTTTGCTTTTAAGGATAGAATTTTGACCAGGAACGTAGTCCATGGTTGAAAAGCTTAGAACTTATGTGACGTCATATGGTTAGCGCCACGCTCGGTAATTGGGAAAATGCATTACGTCACATAAGTTTCCATTGCGTATTATTGGGTTGGAGGATAATTTCTGTCACATTTTCATTTTTATCTCTCAGAAATCTGAGATTTCGAAAATTACTATGTTTGAGGAATGTCGAGGGGTGCAAAGGTCTACCCGCCGGTTCTGTCAGATCCGCGGTTCGTGTATAAAATAAAACAGACTGCACAGAACCGCCCGGGCTGAACGCCCGCGCGTTTGTCTCTTGCGGGCTAACATTGGCATCGCGCGCATGAGTCATCATAGCGTCCGCATTCGACAGCCGCGTTGCAGGCACGCTCGCGTGCGTTCAGTTTACGGCGACCCGGGCAATCTCGTGCAGTCGGCTTTACCCACTTTATCGGTGAGGATACTTTTATGGACATTAGCGGGCTGGCATTTTCCAGGTGATCGGGAAGAGACCGGAGACGTCGTATCAGAGCAGGGTATGGTCCATAGTTTTTAGCAAATGTAGGGGATGGCAAAATGTCCGCACAGGATCACATGAGCTACATGTTGCACCATGTCAGCGCATTCGCATTTTAACATGAAGAACAATTTTTAAAAGTTCACAGAAATCATTTCCATTCTCTTCGTATCAAATCCTGGGCGATGCACTCAAAAAGGAAAACTAGGAAATTTTCAACTAATTTTTGATCTTTTCAATTCGTTTTTCATCCCTTGTATTTGGCATGCTAGAGGTCCAAAGTGCTGCCATAAAAGAGGAAATAAGAAAATATGTCGTGGAAAAATTATAGGAGAGAAAGAACTTAAACGCAAAAATAATCAAAGAAAAAAGTTACAATCTCGAGTGTGCTTAAATAGTTGTCGTAAACTTGCTAGCGTTTTTGTACATTAGCGGCATCAGTTATACTGTTGTATACGCCTTGCCGTGGCCTACACATGGAGTAACTTTGATGATTCTCTAGAGGGCTTCTGGAATTTTGCAGATTTTTACTAATAAACTATTACAGAAATGATCAGCCAAACCTAATATATTTGTATGTGGAGGACGGCCAAAATTACCATCATAAGTACAATTGTCAAGCTGCAGGCGAGAGAATTTTTTATGTACATTGGCTTATAAAGCATGGAACGCTTGCTCCAGTACAAGTTCGCCATTGACAAATCGTACAGCGGTTTTCAATCTGAGTGTCACGGTCGACGTGGTTCACTCCCTCGACAGCCGCGTCGCTTGGGTCTCTCACGTGGTACACTACCGCACCCGATAACGCGAAGGCCTCAGCGGATGCGGCATTGCGCCACGTGAGAGACCCATGCGAGGAGGTTCGCAAGGAGCCACGTCTGAGCTTTCAATCTGAGCCACGTCGACCGTGACACTCAGATTGAAAGCCCCTGTACTTTCGCGACAATTCAGCTGCGCCACGCGTTTCCGCAACGTTTCAGCAATCCGTGCGGCCAATAAATCGACGGTACGCGCGGCTACAACAAATCATGCAGAAGTTACGAGTTCAGATGGGGGCCATGATTCTGCCAAAGGGCTTTATGCAGTTACCTTCAGTCTAAGAAATATATGCTAGTCATTACTCCCTTCGAACGTTTGAATGACCTCACCTGTTTTTACCTTAACCAAACCCTAGAAATACTTTAGAAAACTTCCACAATCCCTCTCCCAGAAGCTCTTTACAGATATTGAAAGCAGTGGAGTCAGCATTCCATGCTCTATGAGCAGTACATATGGAGCTCTTCATTTGCCCGCTGCATAGTATATCTTTAAGTAGCCTCCTGTTTTTTTGTTCCAAACGAAGTACGGCCTGCCTTTAAAGGCAGTGTCCCGGCAGATTCGCGCCCTGGGTGATATCGATGCGGTGGGGTTCCTGGCCACCCCACTAACCACTAGGCCTAGTCCGACTTGTTGATGTCCCCCCTGCGCCGAGAAAATAGCCCCAGAACCGGCGCGCGCAGGCCTAATCGGCGCGCGCTCGAACGACTTCGCTTACCTGCTCGGTGCGGGACCCCATTACCGCTCTCCGCATTGTGCATACTATTTCAAAGTAGAAAATACAGGCGGCAGGGTGTTCGTGCCGGGGCCTCCCCAAGCCGACGAGAGTTTCCGTTGAAACTCTCGTCCGAGCCGCTTTTTGGAAACTAGGGAAATTTCCCCAAAACGGTCTTTTCACCCGATTCTAAGCTCAGATTCGGGTTCTACGAGTCGGAAAGGCCTAAGACTTGCAGAAAGGAGGAAACGCAAAATCTGCCGGGACACTGCCTTTAAGACTTCCGCGTCAAATTTTGGCCATGGTCCACTCCTTTTCCTTGCAGGTGATCTGGGAAAGTGCCCGTAGCTTTCTATTTCATAGGTCTATTCTAGAGGGAACTAAGTCCTTGGTATTGTCACAGACATCAGCAATGAGCAAGAGCACAGATATAAAAGCTAATAGCCTGCAGGCAACAATACTATCGAAGATAATGGGAAGGAAGCAGGAGGAGGGAGAGTACACCAGTGTAGCTTCTCCAAACACAACCTTTTTTCATAATGCTCGTATTAGTTATAGCATTTCTGGTAAAATTCTCATCGAAATCATCGTGGCGAGGATGATGCTAATACAAGTCACCCAATCCTCGAATTTTAGATTTGGTCTTCAGTCATTCTTCAGATTCTCGTAGTACCCTATTTTCAGGTGTATAAGCCCCAGCCTGTTTGCTCTAAAGGCGAACGCGTCAAAAGACTGGCTGTTACCATGGGGTGCGTTAAGTGAGAGCAATGTGCGAGAAAGCGACCGCTTTGCGAGACCATGCGCGGCGGCACGCCTGAGTCTGCTCTTATTTAGAGCAAAAAGGGCGCGGCTTATACACCTGAAAATAGGGTACCACTCTCTCTACTGCCTGCCAAGGTTCGCCAATGCGTACAAGGCCAACGGAATTGCAATGATTTGCCATCACTGTTTAGCGAGCTTCAGATTCTGGCTGTGCTTCTTGTGCTGCTTCGAATTATTCTTCACGGTGGCAGCTTCTAATTATCTTATATATAAAGCTGAATGTCTGTTTGTATGTATGTCTGTCTGTTTGTCTGTCTGTACGTATGTTCCGAATAGAAAATTCCATTTCTGAACCGATCGGGACCAAACTTAGCACACATACACTTCGGGCCCCGGCGGGTGTCATAGGCTACTTTTCGTCATCGATCGATATCGATTTTATCGATTTTTTGCAAATATGAGCTACGGGGCTGGGAGTTGGCACAGGGGGGTAATCGAATGCTCGATTACACCCCTCTGCCAAATTCCAGCCCCCTAGCTCAAATTTTGCAAAAAATCGATAAAATCGACATCGATCGATAACGAAAAGTGGAGTGTGACACCCGCCGGGGCCCGAAGTGTATGTGTGCAAGTTTGGTCCGGATCGGTTAAGAAATGGAATTTTCTATTCCATACGGCGGAGCCGGGTAAGCCAGCTAGTTCCACATAATTCGCTTCTGCAAGCAGAAGCAATTCGATCCAAATAAAGATTCTTTTATAAGACTAGAAGCAGCGAAAGTTGCACAGCTAAATTAGCCTGCTAACAAAGAATGTATGTTTAGTCGAATTGGCCATTTTAGATGGGATGTACACCATACTGAAGGGCATAAAATGCTGATTCCAAATCTGCCTTCCTTATCTGCAGAACATTCATGGATGAGGAGGTAATACTCTCCCTAGCTCTTCAATAGAGCAGTGATAATCATCGGAGCACTTTATTCATAGTGCTCCGATGATTATCACTGCTCTCAAATAAAAAAGTATCACACTCAGTTGCATTATTTGAGGGCTAGTAAGATTTTAGCAAGTAATTTTATCCAAAATGCACATCCAATTTTGTCTACAAAACACGCTCATAACTCCTCGTCGATAAATTGGGAAGCGTTTTATGTCCTTT